ACAATGGCAGATGGAGAACTGAATCACAGGCACACGGAGGGCTGAGTGGATGGTGATGGAGACCGCGGCATGTAACTGTGGAGGAGTAAGCTTATGAACAGGTGCACTGAGACACGACACACTGGGGAAATGAATGACAGTGCATGGAGGACCAAGTGATGTAACTGTATAGACCCATTATGAACAGGTGTGTAAAAGACCAATTGTGTTCAAGGAATGAATGAGCAGTTGTGTGAAGGGCAGAGTGACACAGTGGTGGGTGGAAGAACACATTAATAGGTGCACGGAGGGTTAGGTGATAAAGCTGGAATAAAAGGAATAAGTGAACAGGTATGTGGAAGATTCAGTGTTATAGTGGAATGAAGGAAAGAACAGGTGTACATATGACAACATAACACAGTCAGTGGAATGAATAGGAACTGTGAGGCTGAGTGTGCCATCACTGATAGGAGCATGTTTGAACAGGTGTGTGGATGGAGGCATGTCAAACAGGTGCACAAGGGTCCAAATAGCACAATAGTCTATTGGAGAATGAATGAGCAGGTATGTAGATCACCAAGTAATACGACGGTGGACAGAGGAATGAATGGGTGACAGACTAAGTGTACAATGATTGATAGGAGCACATATGGACAGGAGTGCATGTAGAGGGCCAGGTGAGTGGTTGGGGACTGTGTGGGGGAGGTATGAACAAGCAGGTGCGAGGATGAAGAGGTGTCCTGCAAGCTGCGGTTCACCTTCTGCCCCCGCCCTTACCTTGTCAGTCTTAGCTGGGGAGTACAGCCCAGAATGAGCTGGAGAAGCAAGTTAGCATCTGGACCCCCGTCCTTGCCTCGAGAGCTAGGCTGGGTATCTCCAAATCCCCAGAGAACATCACCTCTGTGACACCTAGGATCAGACGGAACCCCACTTATGCCCCTACCCTCCGTGGCAGCCATTAGAAGGCCACGTTTCCCAGAGAGTCCAGAGCAAGTCCAACCAGCCCTGGACCAAGAGCAACCTAGGGAGGAGGGGCTGCACCGCACAGCCAGGAGCCACAATGGACAAAAAGGTCCCCTCTTCCTTGGTGCCTCCGTGCAACGCTGGGTGGGCAGGCCCCTCACCAGGGTCTGACTAGGTAGAATTAAAAGTAACAGAAAGATGGAAGACACCACAGGCCCATCCCTGACCAAACTCCACAGCGGGAGGCTGGGGGCACACCCTGACAAATGAGGACCTAGGAGAAGAATTCCCAAGGCCATCAAGGCACGGGTCCTCCGTGTGCTGAGCCGGGTGACACAGGCTGGGTGGTGGCTTAACTGTCCTTGCCTGTCACCAGAACTGCAGCCAGCAGTTTGGGTCTCCAGCTGCCTCAAGGCCAGGCCTTATCTTGTCATCTACAGTGTCCCCAGAAACTCAGCAGCGAGCTACATAGGTAAGGCAGGGCCAGGCACCCACAGGAGCAGGAGCTGTGTGTCAGAATCCTACACCTTAAGGGCACAGGCGGAAAAAAATAAGAAACAGAAAATGCCATCCATTTCATGAGAACCATTGAAGGTTGTGTTCATGAACAAGGGACAGAAGGTTCGCAGCACCCTCTGTATTTCTAGCAGGTTCAAGGCTGTGCCCAAGGGACAAATGGCAGGAGTCCAGGTATGCCCTCCATGCCAGCAAACCCTGGTCCTAAGTCAGCCACCTTGAGCCCGGTGGCAATCACCCCGGCTGGGGATGATCCCCAAGGGAAAACACACTACTCTCCCGTACATATTGGCTCACCCAGACACACACACACACACACACACTTTGTGAGGCACAGGAAGCACTCCGCTGTCCTGCCCCTTCCCTTCCAGTAAAGCAGAATGGGTCCAAACGACCTCAGTCAGCTGCACTCTTTGAGGTGATATACAACGCCCCCTGCTTCTGGGTCCTGAAGGGGGCAACAACTTAGATCACAAACATGGGAGGGAGAGGAGAAGAGCAGTGGACAGTGGGGGCAGCTGGGCTGTCACACGGCCTGCAGCCCACAGCGCCTACTACTGGAAGGCTCTAAGTTTGCACAAGCAATCCCTGGCCCCAAGGCCTTCATATCAAGCAGGCAGATCCAGACAAGCATGGCCAACTACACAGAAGGGCCGGGGCTTCTGAAATGCTGACAGCACAACCCGTTTGCAAAACCCTCAAGTGGTGCACACAGGAAAAGCAGCAACAGGAGAGGTCTGGAAAGTAGAGCTTGCTCAGTGATGGAGCTGAGCCTGGCTGGACGTGTGCTTTCCCCAGGACTCAGGATGGCTACTGCCCACGGCTCCCCAGAGAGCCAGGGCAGACTTGAGTGTAACACCCTCCAGAGCCTCTCACAAACGCGGGGCCACAGACACATGGTCAAGTGGCTATAATGGAAGTCTTCAAAATCCATTTTGGAGCAAACAGCTGCCTCTGGGGGGGGGGGGGTGATGATTAGCTGCTGCCACAGCCTTCAAGACTCAGGTGCAAAGTTGTAGCCCACTTATGCAGAAATGGCTCAAGTTTAGAGGAGAAAGCACAGCAGGGGTACCGATCACCCCTCTTTAGCTCCACAGCCGGGGAGGGGTAGTTCCCCCCTCTTGACCTCCGAGCACCTTAACTTGCATTTATATATTTAAAAAGAGGAAGAAAACAAACAATTAACTGGAAAGGTGCTTTCTTTCTTGCAAACTCAGGGCTCTTCAGCTAAGCAGCTTCTTGGGGCAGAGCCCGTGTCCCTCAGTGTGCAGCAGCTGGGACGCCCGGGGTTCCACCCCACCTGCGTGTTGTGTAACATCCCTCTACAGGTGGGCAAGCAGGTCAGGAGATGCCCTGCTGCTGGTCTCACCGAGAGGCAGGAGTCAGATTCCAACCTGGACTCACAGTCTTTCCACAATGGGGCAGCTGTGTTAGCACGTGTGTGTGTGTGTGTGTGTGTGTGTGTGCGCACACAGGTGCCCTTACACATTGCTGCATGAGCAATTATTCCATCCTTTCTTTGCAGAAAATCAGAGGAAACCCCAACAAAGGGAAGTGTGACTTGTACTGAGACCCCGCAGTCCTGTCCCGCTGTGACCCCCCGCCCTACCCCTGCGGCTAGCTGTGTCCTCAGCACTCCTCCCTGGGATTCAGGCCATGCGAGAAGGCACACATCCTACCATTCACTGGGAGTCAATCAGGGAAACACATCTCAACCAGAATAGCATTCCCAGATTTTTTAATTTAATGTGTTTTGTTGTTTTTGTTGTTTGTTTGTTTGCTTTAGGAAAACTGTAAGCTTGGGGACGTGCGTTTAACTCCCATCCTTTCTTCAGCTGCTGTAGCTCACCTGCTGGAAGCAGGCAAACATTTTACGTGCTGCTTAACCCAGTGGGAGCCAGCACACTGGCCAGTTTGACCTGCCTTCACGAAGACCAGAGAAGGCACCTTGCCAGGGCTGGGGCTCAGCCTCCTCGCCTGCGGTGTGGGGGAGGGGACGCAGCTGCACACACAGATTTGTTGCTCTAGGGTTCCGGGGCACACAGGTATCTGCTTCAAGAAACAACCCCCTGGTCATGGCCGCTGTCAGAAGGCAGGAGTGAGGGCAGTGCCAGTGTCCAACTGGCCATCACACATGCAGGGGACACTATGTGGCCAAGTGTTTCAGGTGGCAGGTGCAGAAGAAGTACTACAAGTAAGGCTGGCTATGTCAGAACAGAAGGACAAGTGCCTTTCCCAGCGCAAAAACCTGCAGCAATGAATTAAACATTTCCAACAAGATGACTCTGAAGAAGTCTTTCCAACCAAGAATCAGAGACAAGCCGTCCTGTGCTGCTGCTTCCTGTTGCATATGGCACGCAGAGAAAGCTGTGGTTTTTTTCCTTTTATATTTTCTTTTCCTTCTTTTTTTTTTTTTTTAAGCACAGAGCACTTTCCAGATAAAGAAAAACACCAGGGTGGGAGGCTGGGGTGGCACTAGAGGGGCAGGTCCACGGGCAGGCCAGGAGCAGGGGGCCAGGAGCCACAGCCGGCTGGCCCTAGGGGCGGCGGCACGCCGGGCCGGAGCCTGCAGAGCCCCCACCCCTCCCCTCCCTCCTCCTGCCAGCAGGACGCACACCTCCGCCACCAGGATGTAGAGACCTGCCTGACTCCCACAGGTCTCTAAGCAGGATGTCTGAGTTCCCGCCCACGCAGTGGGGGGCACTGCTCTGGGTGCTGACTGCAGCCCCTCCTCTGTGGCCTGTGCCCGCAGTATCCCAACTGGATGGACCCTCACCCCAGACACCATTAAACTTGACCAGCTTCTGGATATAATCCAAACTTGCCTTTCTTTTCTGTGCAGCCTCCAGGGTGGGCAGATACCTCCGTGGCCTGTCCCTGCCCTGGATCCTAGCGCAGCCCCGCCAGCTACCGGGCCCATCGCACACCCCTCCTCTCCAGGGAACTGACGCATCTGGAGCCCCACTTAGGCTGAAGGAGCCAGGAGTCCAGACAGTTTTAACCTGGGCACACGGAGAGCTTTGGGGGTGAGGGCAGGGCCACCTACCCCAGGCCCCCTGCCACTGTACACGCCAGTCCTTCCCCAACCTCGTCCCCCAACACACACACACACACACACACACACACACACACACACACACACACACACACACACCGCGAGAGGTAGGAAGTGCAAGGCTTGGAAGCCCGCGCGGCGCCGCGCAGCCCACGCCTGGGCGGTGGGTGGGTGGGTGTCGGCTCCGGGATTATTCTTAGCGCTCCACTCTTGCAAAAGTGGCGCCTCCACCCTCCAGCTCCAACACACTTGCTCTCGGGCTGGCGCGTCCGGTCCCAGACACCGGAGCTCTGGAGACAGCACACCGGGCGGGCTGGAGCCTCAGGGGTGCTACAGCGGACAGCCAGCGGGTTCCCCGCTCACCCCCACCCCCCAGCCCTTCCCCAGGGCGTCGGGGCGGCCTCGCCAGCGACCTCGGTGCGGCCCGTACCTGGCCCTGCGCCGCGCGCTCCGGCCGGGGCGCCCCCCAGCCCCGGCCCTCCCTTACCTATGGTGGTGATGACAGTGATGGCAAAGTAGAAGGAACCGGCGAATTTCCACTGGACGCCGGCGCGGTGCGGCTCGGACTGCAGGATGACCAGCTCCAGCTGTCGGTAGTCTTCGTTGCTGATGTTGTACTTCCCCTTGATCCGGATCTCCTCTGCCTTGAGTTTCTCTTCCTCGCGCATCTCGTGGTCGGACTCGAGGGCGTCGAAGACGGCGGCGCCCACCAGCAGGTAAGTAAAAGTGCAGGCGATCAGGGACAGAGTCCGCACGTTTTGCCTCTTCATGGCTGCTAGCAGGGAGCCGGCGCGGGGGGCATGTCCCGCGGGCTCACCACCACCACCACCGCCGCTCTCGGCCCACTGCAGCGCGCGCCGCCCGCCGCCGCCTCCAAGTTGTAAGCGGCGACCGCAACAGCAGTAGCAGCAGCAGCCAGGGGGAGGGGGGCGGGGAGGCTGGCGGGGGCCCCTGTGCCAGTGCTGGCGGGGCAGGGGCTCTGTGGAAACGACTGACTGGCACACGACGTTGTTAGAGCGCCGGGACCAGCCGTTCCGTAATCTGGACACCCTGCGCCAGAGCCGGCCAAGGTAACCCGTCCCACTGCGCAGGGCCATGCAAAGTGGCCCCAAGGAACACCGCGCGGGCTACGTTGCCCTCCGCACCCCGCTCCCTCCCCCCCGCTCCCGCCGGAAAGGCTGGGGCGGGAGCAAGATCTAGAGAGAGGAGAAAGGAGAGGCAGGAGTGCGATGGGAGGGTTAGAGCCGGGGCTGCGCCCCTCTGGGTTTGGCACCCGGCTAGGAGCCCTCAGGTGCGCGCACACCCCCTGGGATCGCCTTCTCTTTTATCCCTTCTCGCTCCCCTCTATTAGGGAAAGGAAAAGTTTGCCGAGTGTCTGCGTCTCTTGAGTCCCCCGAGAGCGGGAAGGGGGGTAAGCAGGTGCACCAGGCAGCGCAGCCGGAGGGCCCCGAGGTCCGAGCTCCCCGAGCCCACCTAGATGCTGGAGGACGCAGGAGGGTCGCTGCGGAGCGTTGGCCGCTTGGCGAAGTTTGCTCGGCTCAGTCTCTCAGGCGCGGGAGCGGGGCGCGGCCCCAAGACGGCAAAGCCCCGCGGCAGAGCGGCTTTGGGGGCGGCAGAGGAACCGCGCAGCGGCGGTCGCCCAGCCCGCTTCTCCGGGGGCGGCAGACGCGGCGGCGGTGCTGGTGGTGGCGGTGGTGGCGGTGGTGGCGGCGGCCGAAATGGTCCCGCGGACCTAGCGGAGCGGCAGGGTGGGCACGGGCGTAGGAGCAGCGAGGCAGTCGGGGTCCTCCGGAGTCCAAGAGTCCAAGGAGGTGGCTGCAGCGCTGGTCTGCCCAGGGCGCAGTGTGCGTGCGCGCCGGAGGAAGCCGGAGTATGTATCTGTGTGTGCGTGTGCGTGTGCGTCTGTGTGCTGTGTGTGCGCTTCACAGCCCCGCTCTGGCGGGAGGGCCGCGGGGGGGGGGGGCGGGGGCCGGGATACGCCGAGACCGGGCCTCCCTCCCTCGCTGGCTCCCTCCCTCCCTCCCTCCTGCAGCCTCCAGGGCGCGCCACCTCCCGCCTGGTACCCAGCCAGCTGGCGAGGCGGCCGTGGCAGCTCCCACTGCAGACCAAGCGCGGCGTAGGGCACACGCGGAGGGAGCCCGGCAGAGGCGGCCAGAGCCGCCGGGGAGGAGGAGGGCCGAGCACCGGGCACCGCCAGAGTGGGCCTGGGGAGGAGCCGCCAGCGGGTTTGGGCTGGGGTCGGCAGGGGGAGGGGAGGGAGGGATGGGAGACTCAGGGAGACAGACAGCCTAGGTCTTTCCAAATCAGCTCTTGGAGAGCGCACGCAACCATGGCGGGCTCAGAGTTTGAGAGACCAGGAGGGTAGGACAGCGAAATGGGGATTCAGTCCCCGAAGACAGCGGTGCTTACAAGAGAGGGGAGAGCCGGCAGAGTGGGGCGCGCAAGGGCAGTGCGCAGTGTGCCCAGCGCCGGGGGCCTTAGACACCTGGCGCAAAAGCCCCGCGCTGCTGGCCAGGGGCACAGCCTCAGCCGGTGGCAGTCCCTGAGGGCTTCCGCAGCCCCTGCAGGGCGGCCATGCCCAGTGGGCCAGCACCTGCCGGTACCTCTCAAAGCTGGGACCGCAGTGGGAGGAGGGCGCTCTCCCTCCTCCCGGGATCTCTCTGAGCAGCACTCCTGGGTTTTCCGCGTCGGGCGCAGGGCGCTCTGCGAGCCTAGCAGTCCCTCGAGGCCAGCCTGAAGAAGAGGCGCAAGGCCAGGCATCCCTCGCTACGTCCTGAGAGGGCCCTCACACTGGGGCCTTGGGTCCTTCTCGCTCAGATAGCGCACCCCCTTCCTCAGCTCCCTTTGGGTAGTCCAGGGACTTTGCCTCACATTGCCTCCTCCTTAATCCCCTGCAGCTTGGAGCTGGTTCGTGGGCGCAGAGGAACGCCCAGCCAGGGCGAAGCTGACCGTGCAGACTTGGGGTGGGCTGGGGAGTCGAACCCGGGAACCCCGTCCGCTCTGGGAGTGCCCTGGGACCATGTTCGTGCCTGGTGCGCAGCCGGCCGAGCCGAGTGGATCCCACCGTGTGCGTCACTGAGATTCCAGGCTGGGACGCTCTTCGCCCGATTCCAAGAGTCCCCTGGGGAAGGGACTGCGGGCCACTCTGGGAGAAGACGTACGGGTCCCTGCAGGGTCTCAGACACCAGAGTCCCACCGTCACCCCAGCCCGCGCTGTCCTCAGGATTCATTTTGGAATTCGAGGCCCTCGCGCTAGGCAAGAGCCCGGCTGCCGGGTGACTCACTGCAAGAGAGCAGGTGACAAGAATTCCCAGCCGCTGGGGCTTGAGCGCGCTGAGCCTCTGCCCACCAGGAGCCCCAGCCCGGCCTGCCGCAGCCGTCGGGCGCCGTGGTCCTCAGAGGCCGGCCCGCCTGGACGCCAGCAGGGGGCGCTGGACTCCGGTCCACGGGGTGGCCTCGGGAGGTCCCCGGGCAGCGGGGATGGGGTGTGCTCCCTTAGGCAGGCTTGGCGCCAGGTTGAGCCTGCGTTTTCCTACAGCCTCAGCGCTCTGTGTGCGTGCAAGTTGGAACCCCCAAGACAAGCGACTCCACCCCACCTCCTGTTTTACAGATGGAAAGACTTCCCTGGACTGGACGCAGCAGTTCCCGAGCTCGACCCTCGGCCCTGTGCTCCTACAACGACCCCAGATGCTCGGTGTCGGACCCTGAGTTCCAGTTCCAACGTGGCCTGTCTGGTCCCTCCTTCCCCCAGGACTGCAGAAGGAAGGCTCAGGGAGCACTAGCCCAGGGTCCCGGGGCTGGGTGGGGACGGGGAGGAGGTAAGGGGGCGGAAAAGAGGACATGTCTTCGGGGTTCTCCCACCCCCCAGCCCCCGCACCCCCCGCTGCAGGTGCACCCGGGGCTTCCAGAGCAGAGCCTGGACACCGCCCCCTCCCTGAGCTCCCAGCTGGGCAGCCGCATGGGTCCGTGAATTGGTACCATGTGACAATCTGGCACCATCCCTGCCGCCCCTGTAGGGATTCTGGGAGGCTCCCAAGGCCATCTCAGCCTGAACAAAGATGTGGAGCTCAGGTATGGCCAATCAGAGGCCCTGGGTGTCCCAGGGCCACCAGCATTGGCTGGCCGTAGCTCACATGTCCACCTCTCAGCCAATGGGAGCCTTTCTCCACAACTTTGGGAAACCCTCTCTGTGAGAGAGGCCAGGGCCTCACCCAGAGGTGGACAAGGGGAAGACCCCATCCCCAACCCCTGGAGTCCCTCGATGCAGGCAGTGTCAGAAGGCTGAGTAAGCAGATGGCAGCTCTCGGCTTGAGGCCCGTGGGAGTTGACCCCAAGCCTGCAGGGTGCCTTCAGGGGTTTGCAAGCCGACGTCACAGCCTGGCGATGCCCCCTTCACTGGTCAGGCCCTAGCGCAGATGAATCTTGTGTGGCTTTATGGCTGCAAGCACTGCCGACTTTGGGCTGTTTTCCTTACACAAGGGCCCGACCTGCTGCCCCAGCACATTAGCCAGCAAGCCTGGGCGGTTTACCCTGGCGCCACATCAATTCCCAAGCCAGCTCTTCTTCTCCAGGACCCCTGCGTCCAGGGAAAGGGCTTGGCTGATGGCAGGCAGGTGCCGTGCCTGGGCCCAGCCGCATCATCTGCCGGCCCTGCCTGCAGTGCCCCAGTGGACAGTGTCGGCTGGGCAGCCACCAAGGCTGGCAGCTGCTCCCAGCACAGCCACTTACTGGCTCTGCTCACACTGCTGTGTCGTGTTGGTGTCCACTTCTTTGAAAACAGGTGGGAAAGGCGAGACAGCAGGAATCCCCATGTGGCAGAAGGCAGCCCTCTGTTGAGTCTGCTCAGAGCGGTTCCACCGCTAACCTTCCCCTTCACAGTGGTGTTGGCGAGACTCCCAGGCAGCGTCAGTTTACAGGGAACAATGCTCCCAAGGTGGGCCGGTGGTCCATCCAGACCTCCCTACCCTCTGTGGAGATGCCCGCGCTGGCAGGGGAGGAGATGCAGCATGAGGCCAGCGCTCATGGGCACTGGGAGTCTGCATAGTGCCCAGGGACAGTGCACGACTCATCTCTGACACAAGCCATGCGGGCCACACTCGCAGCTGAAGCAGAGTGGGGGAGGGGTGGGTCCACTGCCAAGGCCTTGGAAAACAGGGGAGATGCTGAGCGAAGCATCCTGTGGCTTAGGTCACATGGGAAGTGACAATAATGACCTCTGCGGCCAGGCCACACCACCCGCCCAAGCCCCTCTGCACTGACCACCCCCTCCCTTCCCCCTCTCCGGCTCCATGCATCCCCACGCCCTTGCTCACCAGAGGAAATCTGATTAGTGAATGTCAGACTCCTTAATGCAGCCTGAACCACCAGCCTTCTCCACACCAGATCCATAAATAGCTGCACAGCATTCCCTACGGAGCCCAGGACACTCAGCAGAGGCCTCTCCGCTGACAGCTCCCCAGCGGGGCTGCAGGGCTGCTGGGCCCCATGTCCACCGTGGAGGTCTCATTGCCAGATGCCAGAGAGGCAGGGGACACACCTCTGGAGGCTATTCTCAAGCTGGGCCCAGAGGCTGGAGGGCAGCAGGCTCCTCGGCTGGCAGGAGGCAGGTCCTGTCCCTGGCTTCTACTACTGGTGGTGCCCCAGGACTTGGCACAGACCCAGGACTCCTGGGAAGTTTCTGACCAGGACAGAGATGAGTATGTGTGCGGGGAGGGTTGAGGGATTGAGGCAAGCAATCGGATCCTGTGGTCAGGAAGTGGCCTCGGCAGCT